GCGGTCTAAGGCGTCGGTGGCGTCATGACGAGCGCCGAAACGGTCCTGAAGGAAGGTCGCGAAGTCGGCCAGAGTGGGGACCTCACCCACGCAGAGGCGCTGGGTATAATGATCCTCCCACGCAGTGGAAGGGCTACCTCGCAATTTGGTTGCGAGCACATCGCACCACAACTCCTGACGGGTGGTCGTCATAGAGAGCGTGCGCGTTGCTATCTGCAACCAGCGAGAGACACGGGATGTCCCATCATACTCGGGAATGTTCGTGGTGCGCACATGAGGATGTCCATTGTGCTGATGGCGGGGGGAGAGAGATCGAGGCGAGTGAACTGCAGCAACGTAAGTCGAGGCCGCTGCAGGGGCAAAGGTGGGGGAAGGCTGTGGGCCGTGGCCGCTGGCGGATGGACCAGCAGACGAGGAGGCAACGACCGCGGGCAGCTGTCCCGGAATAGCCAGGTAGGAGGGAAGAGGCTGAGGAGCAGGTCGAGGGAAACGAGCCTGCATTATGGGGACCGAAGGGGTGGTAGGGGAAGAAGGGTGGGCAGCCTGTGATGGGTGAGGCTGTCTCAGAGCGAGAATCTCCGCCTGAGCCTGCGCAATGGTGGCCTGTAAAGTGGCCACTCGCTGGGTGCGCGGGGTCGGAGGTGGAGGGGGCGGAGCGGGTCTCCCAGTGGGAGGAGGAATCCCAGCCTGGGCGGTACCCTGCTGTGGGGGCGGGGGGACGAAGGCAGGAAGAAGAGAGCGGAGTCGTATTGCCGCGACCGGTGCGGGAAGCTGGGAAGCAACACCGGTGTGGGTCGATGAAACTGCTGGGCCAGAAGGCGGTACTTGGACCCCAGCACCTACGGCAGTAGTAGAGACGGTAGGGGCGGTCATGGCCGGGAGAACTGTTGCAACAGACGGGGTGGTCTGAGCGGCAGCAGCACTCGCCACTGCTGCGGGGGAGTGTTGGGTCTGGCCCGCAGAGGAGGGGGAACCACGATGTCTCCGACTCTGGAGTCGTGGGGAGCCGGACTCGGAGCCGGTAGGGGATGGGGTATGGGAGCGGTGGGGAGAGTGATGAGAAGAGCCCTTGAGGCGATTAACGTCAAGGGCAAGCGCATTGATTTGCGCTTACAACGGTCCAAGCATACTAAGTTGCGCCTGGATCGCTACGAGGGTGGCATGAAGGTCCATCGTGTCCGCATGGGCTTGACCCTGACCCGCTGGCTGAACGCTCACCTGGGAGGTGGACGGCGCCGCGGTGATCTCCTTAAAGGAACTCCCTTCCATGGCCGGAAGGGAAAGGGAGGTAGAGCTCACGGGGGTGTGTGGGGAGAGGGGCCCACCGGTAAGAGGAAGGGGACCGCGGGAGCGGAGTGAGTATGTGTGAGTCGGTTCACCCCGGATTTGGCGGGTCGCGCGTGAGAAGAGCGCGCCAAATCGCTCGAAGGAGTAGGAGCCGTTCGGGTCCAGGGTGCCCGACGGGAGGAGGCGGGAGAGTAGGGGGTTTAGGAGAACCCTAAACCCTAAAAAAACCCTAAGGAAACCCTAACCGGAGTTTAGGTGGTTAGGGGAAGGTGGCGGCAACCTAATCAAAAAAAGAAAATAATAACAATGGAGGGGAGGGAGAATAAAGTAAACAATGGATTTTCGAGATGAAAATAAAATAAATAAATAAATAAAAATAAATAAATAAATAAAATGTAAAGAGTGAGGAGAGAGAGAATATTTATTTTTTTGGAATTTTCGGCAGCATTKTCCCATCCCGCATGGGGTCAAAAATGTGCCAAGAGGAAGGAAAGTGCAAGAGGGACACACTAACTTTCAAAATGCCGCAAATTAAAATTTTCATAAAAAAAAATAAAAAAATGAGTAAATAAAAAATAAATAAGGAGGTGGAAGAGAGTGAAGAGAAGCTAAGTTTTGAAAAATTTTCAAAAATTTCGGCAGCATTTCGTTACCCCCATGGGGTCGAAATATGCCGTCAAGAAAAGACTAAGTAGAATGGAAAAATTTGATCAGCGCTTCGCTACCCTCAAGGGGTCAAAATGTGCACCGACAACAAAGAAAGAATCAGTCCTAGCAAGATATAGAGGTGCCGCAGAAAATTACGAATTTTCAGAATAAATAAAATAAATCAAAAAATAAATCAAAAAAATAAGAAAAGAAGTAGGGAATAAGATGATTCAAATTTTTGGAAGAAAAGAGAAATTTTACATCAAAGAGAAAGAGAAAAGTAGAAAAACAGAAAAATTCGGAGTTGGGTGTGGGGGGGGATGAAAAAGTGATGAAGAAAGAGAGAAAGAAGTGAGAAGAGAAAGAAAAAGGTAAGGTGGGGGATGGGGGAGATGATGGGATTGTAGTTGGGGGAGGGAAGGAGGAGAAGAGGGTGGTAGAATGAGAGAGAAGGATATGAAAAGGGTGGAGAGGAGTAGATGAGATTAGTGAGAAATGGTGAGTGGGGAGGAGAGGAGAGAAAAGGGTTACGGAAGTTGGGTGGAGAGGGAGGCAGGAGGAGAGAGTAGTGGTAGAGTTAGAAAATGTGATTAGATGGAGTAGGGGAGAGAGAGAGGGGGGGGGGAGAGTAGGTTAGTGGAGAGCAATTATACCAGGCTCTTGGTTGGCCAAGAGCAACAAGATCACCAAGATCCAATGGATCTTGGTCTTCAAGCAACCCCTTGGAAGAAGGGGTCTTCAAACTGCTACAAGCTGCCAGCACGGCAAAAAGATCTGATCAGACTGATTAGATCTTCCAAGTGGAAAGTTTGGGAGAGATCTTGATATCCCAAACTCACATTCTCCACGTGTAGTGCAGCCCCCTAGCCAGGGGGGTCTTCAAGTGCTGTCACGTAGCACTCTCGTGGCCACGGGGAGGGAGAAAGGAGAGAGAGGGGAAATCCGTTTTTTCCCAATAACTTCTGATCCGCTGGGCGAAATTTGGCAAAAAAGAATTTGTTGGAAAGCTTTTTCGAAGATGCTTCCAATGAGATATGGCGCGACTTCAGCCGCGGCCTGTAGAAATAGCGCTCGTAAAAAAAATGAGTGCGCGCGATTTTGGAGCTGACAAAACAAATCGCGATTTTTGAACGACCGTAGCTCCAAAACTAGCACACAGAATTCAACAGTCTATGGCTCGTTGGAAGCGGCTCGTCGAGAGCTTTCCAACAAGCTAAAGATAAAAACATTCTGATACCGGATGCAGAAGTTATGATTAAAAACGTGCACCGGTGTCATAATAAACGTGAAGTTGCGAGCTTTTTTGCTCAAGCCACGTGTGAAATGATGAAGGGGGTGGATGGGGGAGGGGAGCAGGGAGAAACGCCTGCTCTGATACCAGTGTGCCGGACCCACCAGGATGGCGGTCCGACAGGATGGAGAAGAAGGGTAGACGAAGGAGGAGATAGAGATGGAGATGGAAGGGACAGCGCAGCTCCGACGCGGACTCCACACGCACGTACTCCAAGATCTGCGAAAGTGAAGAATGATGAAAAACAGACAACTGCTGGGGTATACCCCCAGCGGACTGACTGACTGGACTGGACTGGACTGGTACCGATAGTGGTACCGGGCAGGACTAGAACAGCACACGACCTGTGGGGTCAGGCCACGGCCTGGTCCCACAGGCCGAACTGGGCAAATAGCCAAATAGGCCTTGGCTGTAGGCCAGGACAGATGAAGGCCCGCTGCATTAAGTGTCGGAATTTCGCCCTGTAGAGTTGTATTCAAGTACCTTGGTTTTGTATTGATCGTGTTTGATATACTTGGATTTGGATGGTGGGTTTTTTTGTCTCAAGCTCACCCTTCCATGTTGGGGTCGCATAGGTAGGGGTAAGTGTCTTTTGGCTAAATGGGGTTAGTAGTTGGAAGGATATGACGCGTCCTGCTGGCGAGGGGGCTAGTTGGTAGGACGGAAATAGGTTTAGATGGTTTGGGTATGTCAAGAACGACCGTGATAAATCTTGCCGGAGTGGAGATTAGAAGGTTTAGGTGGTCTGGGTATGTCAAGCACGACCAACGCACGAAGGGAGCCAAATAATTTGAAACCTTGGTTGTGGTGGTGGATTCAGCGGATCGTCCTACGACGGGTTTCACCATCATATCCATGAGTTCAAGGTTGGCCGATGCCAGAACGACGCTGGCCGGAGCTGGGGTTTGGTTACGCTGCCTTGTAACCTGAGTTATGTAAAGGTTTGAGGCATGGTAGAGAGATCTGGGAAATTGTCGAGGGTGGAAGGCAATCCAGTGGCTAACCGCGAGTTGCTACTAAGACGACGCGGGTCGGAGCTGGGGTGGGTTGTGTCGCCCTATAACCCAGCAGCTGGGGCGTGAGGCTTGGTAGAGCTTGGTATTGAGGATAGGTGGATTGAGGCAGTTGTAGGATGGTCGAATATCCTGATTGATTCTCAATTTTCACAAACAATTTTGTTGTTCTCGGTTGCTTTTGGTGGTCTTGAGAATGCTTTAGGATTCTGGGGACTTTTTGCGATTCACTTTAGGCTTCTTTGATGCTATTATA